CATCATAGGCGACATCCAACAACGAAAGACGGGTCGAATAATCGCGCCTTCTCACCGCGCGTTCGAAGACACCCTTGTGCGACACTTCGTACGCCTCGCCAACCGACGTGTCCGCAAAGCGCAGCCAGGAGAAGGCGTCGTTATGACTCATGCTCTCCCGGATATTTTCAGGAGTCCAGATATTCATCAAGTGAGAAAGATACCTTCCTTCGAAACCAGCCTTGTTATTCCCGGGCCCAGCAACATCCAAGCGACCCTCCGGGCTACAGAGCAGACGCGGCAGGTCGTACTCAACCAGGTTACGAGTAGAATATCCAACATCAACAAACGGACCCTCGCGGACGAAGGACGCAGTTTCCGCGAAGTAGCACACAGAGAACGGGGACGTCGTCTCAGCACGCTCAAACAGGTCAGGATGGTTGCATACCTTCCTGAACTGCATCACCAAGTTCATCAAAGTGGTGCTATCCGTGTCATCGCCAATAGCGGCCTTCTCAATGAGGTCCATGATGCTAACTCGGTTTCGCAAACTCGTATAATACGCCCGCTGGCGATAGGTAAGGTCACAGAACACATCTTTTTCGACCTTATCACCGAGTTCCTTCTGCACGTGCTTCTTGATACGACGAAGCATGAACGGCTTCAGAATCATATGCAACCGCTTAAGTTGATCCTCATTGAGCTTCGTGTTACTCTGGGCATGGCTCTCAATATCCTTAGAGAACCATTCACTGAATTCGTCGTGAGAATCAAACAGGGTCGGCATGATGAAGTGAAGTAACGCCCAGAGTTCCTGCATGTTGTTCTGGATCGGGGTACCAGTGAGGAGAAGTCTGTTTCTGCAGTGCATTCCGAGAAGGCTCTTCCATCGCGAGCTCTGAGAAGACTTGATGGCCTGGGCTTCGTCCAGAATCATATATTGCCATTTGATCTTCTGGAAGTACTGAGCATCGCCAACGACCAATTGGTAAGACGTCACAAGGACATGGAATTCCGACTGCTTGCGGTATGTGATGTTTCTGCGATCCCAGAACTTTCGTAAAACTTTCCGATCCTTTGCTGATCCCCAGTACGGTAACACCTTCAGGTCAGGTACGAATTTTACGATTTCCTGTTGCCAATTGTGCAAGGTCGAAGAGGGTGCAACGACGAGGAATGGACCCCAGATATCGTGCACTTCAGCGAGGTAAGCCATCACTGAAATTGACTGCACGGTCTTACCGAGACCCATTTCATCGGCAAGGATACCATTAATGCCCTGTTCGTAAAGATTGACTAGCCAGTTAAGTCCCTTGAGCTGATACTCCTTCAGCTGGCAGGTCAACATCTTTGGCTGGGACACTTCCACATCACCGAGACTGGTAGGATTCTGGAAATTCATCTCTCCCTCATCGAAATCGGCCATCTTATTTTCCTCGCCGTTGAAAGCTCTGGCACGATCTTGGGCTTCCTGCACAGCGCTTTGAGCATTGGCCATAGCGGCCTGCCTCAGAGCCGTCTCGTCTTCCGCGTCAAAGTCAAGATCATCGAAGCTGGTGACTTTCGCGCCACCGTCTGGGAGAGGGACTAAACTATCAGGGACCTTTCCTTCCCCGTTTCCTTCGATAGCAGCAGTAGTGGTGGCATCTCCACTGTCTTGCGCTTTATCCGTCTTGATCTTTCGGCCAATAAAGTGAGAGTACAGTTCGGTCTGGGAGATAAGGAAGTTGAGCTTGCGTCGTTGTCTGTTCGCTTCGCGATCCGCCTCTGCCTTCTTGGCCAACTCGAGCTCTTGTCGCTGGGCCAAGCGGCGCATATCACGTTCTTCGCGCTCGTTTCGCCTCCAGAAGGTCATCATCTCGCGCATAGTTCGTTTCGCCCTCGCCTGAGTGTCCTTCATGCTCCTGTTTGTCTTTTCCTGCCATTTCCGAGCCTGTTTAGCGGCCAGTTGCGCGGTCTTTCGTAGGTTCTCCTGGCGAGTGCTGAGAGATACAACCTTGATCCGGTAAACTTTTGGGATATCCTTTCTGGCAATATCTCGCCAGAGCTGTTCGTAAAACTGGTTGTAACCCTTAGAGTCGTATGGAGTAGCAGGGACGGGACTGGGTTCTTTGGAACGTGCAGCTTTCGATTCCTTTTTCAAGGATGTCTTGCGGGGGTCTTCCTTTGGCGCCAGAGGAACCAGGTCTTCGTTCTCCATAGCAGCGTAAGCCGCCTCTGCGGCGTCCTTCTCAGCCTGTTTCTTCTCCTTTGACTTTCTGGGTCTGGAAGAAGTACCCTTGGCGGCCCTTTTCTTTGGAGGAGGAGGGGATTTTGTGCGAATATGAAACGAACTTGTGGTGCCACCTTCAAGATTTGGAGCGAGGGGGTTGACTTCGGAGATCTCCTGAGAGGCCTCACCTCGTTCCAGCGCAAGCGTGGTATCTTTGATCTTTTTCTTTGACCTGGCAATTTCCTTCGCCAGCTTCTGCTTCTCTGCCTCATCCTCGATCTTATTGGCCTTCTTCTGCGCTGCGTTCAATTTCTCCATCTCATGGCGGACAGTATTCTCGCGCCGTCGTTTCCTCTGCATGTCCTTCTTCCTCTCTTTCTCTTCTTGTATTTCTTTCTGTTGCACCTCCATTTGCACTTCAGCTTCGTGGATGCGGTTGAATCGCTCGATCCCTTGAAGTGCTTGCTTTTCAAACATTTTTGCAAGTTTCCCCAGAAATTCAGTTCGGCGGCGCTATATATAGAGGGAGAGGAGAAGAATGTCAGTCACCCCATAAATCTATCAACTGAAGGGAGGGAGGGGGGAGGTTGGGGCGGAGGAGAGACCTACCTTACGCTTTCGTCCTTCGATAGCATCTAATTCTCGAGCCCGTTTCCTACTTTTCGCCATGTATCGCTCCCATTCCTGTTCGAAACCAGGTGCCTCGACGTCGCTATTATCCAGTGCATCAATCTGCTCCAGCGCCCTGGCGATATTTTCTCTAGAAATTTTATCGATCTCTTCCTCGTCAACCAGCTTTCGCGATTTTGAGAGTGGAGATGGCATCGCGGCTAGGGGTGATTTTGCGGGCGTGAAGCCGTTCATCGCCGGGCGATGAGGCATCTCGTTGTAAGCAGTTTCGTAATGGCTGCTTCCGCGACGCTTCTCCGGCTCGGACAACGGCTCCTTGTCGACTTTCGGGGTGGGCGCGATGGGAGGCAGAGTGCTGGATTTATACGTTTGGGGCGGTGGTGACGACCTGCGGGGAGGCGGTTCGTCTGCTGGTCCGGAGAGGATGTTGGCGAAGGACATTGGGTTTGAGCGTGCGGATTTCTGAAAATTGCATAAAAACAGTAAGCAACGACCCCCAAAAGTTCATACAAAGGAAGGGACAGACGCGTACCGATTCCTTCGGAGAAGCGGGCCTCGCCGGAGTCTGGGATACGGGGCCGGTGCGATCAGACCTCACATCGTAGGGCTCCGATTCGCGCTTCGGTGACTGTGAAAATGAATCGGGGATGTTTGAAGGATGGGAATGGGAGCCAGACGCGTGGCTGTAGGACGGCGGAGGCGAATGAGAGGTGGCCGACATCAGAGATCCGCCAAACGGCCTGGGCAGGGTGTACCCTGACGTCGCTGAGCCGGAATGGCCGTGGTATGGCGGGGAGCCGTCCGCGTTGACGACTGTCCCGTTCAACGGGGGTAGGGTTGTATTCATCGGAGATGGAGGACGAGCGAAGTGCGGACTCCGGGAGAGGGAGGATGGAGGCGCGAAGCTTGGCGGAGTACGGGGAGGATGCTGATAGGGATCATTGCCGGAATAGGGCTGCCGATCCCTCGTTGAGGGAGAGTAGGATGGGTAGCGAGGCTGCTGTGTGGGGGAGTGCATGCCATACGGCGGAACTCCCGCCATCGCGACGCGTTCACGACTATGTTCAACAAAAGAGGGTGTCTCGTCACTTTCGGTCCGATTTGCTTCCCCCACCCCCCAAGAAAAGTGATTCTCAGGTGTTATGCTGTATCAACGCTATTAATATGCTGTCCTGCAAGGGCTTTCAAGCAGCTGCCATTAATGTAGTGAAATATATAGGGGAATGGCAGCCAGGTGGAGAGAGAAGAGTAGAGAGGACCGCAAAAGGGTTTCCTGCGATACAGGTCCATATATTAGCAGCAGGAAAAGCAGGCCGGCGGTGGATGTGGTTTAGAGGTGGCACGGCGAGCGAAGGGTGAGGAGGACTGAAGCAAAAGTTGGGAAAGGGAATTGAAGGGCAAATCAGGAGTGATGTGGCCACTGTGCTCTGGGCTGGAGTTCGGCACTGGGTGGGAAAAAAGGGTTTCTCACAGTTTCTACCGCTTCCCTAGTTTTGCTTTCACAAAACAAAAAAAAAAAAAGGGCTCCACAGCGAAAACAGGTTGGATGAGAAGAGAGTAGAAACCCTCACAGGTGAACCACCATGCCTGGCTGAGGGAGAGGGTACAGGCCACGGACCAAGCTGAGTAAGGAGGAAGAGCTGGTCTGGGACTACAATTGTGAGATGGGGAGATGGCAGAGATGGTCGCAGGCGTGGTGCAGATGGAGATGGGGTGGTTGTGGATGGAAGGAGGATGGAATCATGGCCAGATGATGATGATGATGATGATGATGAGGTGTGCTGGGCCTCATACTTTAGTTTTTATTTTTATGTTTTTGCTCCTTTGCTTGGGGGGTTTTGTTCGTTCCCTTTTTTTTTTTTTTTTTTTTTTCCCTTGCGCTTCTGCTTGTTCCTCCTTCTGCTGCAACTTCGCCTTTTTCCCGCTCAACCAAAAGCAACCCCGTGAAAGTTCTGGTTCCAGCGTAACGGTGGAGTCTGGCGCAGGGAAAACCGCGTAACTCTGTAACTTTCAACACGCGCCCTTTTCTGGCCTCCGGGGCTGCCATGACGGTATTCTGTTACAGCACCTGATCGCCGTCTGCCGGCTGCAGCCAATAAACGTGCGCCCTGCTGCTCGCGCTGACCTGCATGCTCCGGGTGCACTAGTAATCTACTGTATGGCCCTGACAGCTGTGCGAAGCTAAACGTGCCAGCAAACCCCAGACAAAATAAATTACAAGGCGATCTTTAAATAAATTACATCCCTCCAGCCAATCAGGCTCGCCACCCTTCGATTACCTCATCGCCCAGCCTGTCGAGCTTCCAACGCCGGCTTCAGATGCGCTTCGTTGGAGGGAGAAAAACTTTGTATTCACGGATGCGCGACAACGGGGCGGGCCATTCCTCCACAGCGAGAGTGCGAGAGCCACGACGCATGCAAATGGACGCCAGCCCGACAGAAGGGTGTGCTCTCTGCCTGTCCCCGTATATCCCATCCACAGCCGATCAATGGAACTGAGAGAAAAGGGGGTTGAGATGCGCTGGCGAACTTCTGTCGCACGTCAAAAGACGCATGTATAGCTGTGGGACGGAGGAGCGAGCTACTCACTCAGTGACAAATCCCCTCCCATCATGTACTGTACATATATATGTTGTATATAAATAAAACACCCTATCAAGAGCATGGCACAGAAAAATTGAATTTCAAGAAGGCTGTGGTCCCGGCATTGATTTATTTATTTTAGTGCTTGCTCGCCTGCAGCAATGGTTGCCAGCTGTTCGAATCTTGAACATCCAGCCTGCATCTCCCAAGACCGGCAGGATATACGACACCAGAGCCCCCAATTCCATGGAGGGGACACCGTTGCGTTCGGGCATGGGAAGGACTGCCAATTGACAGTTCCCTGTCCCAACAACCCCACAGATCGAGCTCGCGTTCCCGTGTAGGACGGCGGCAGGTCTCGCCATTGTGGGCATTTATTTCCCTTCTCGCATGGCCCGGGCGTTCCAGAGAGAGAGAGGCCCATGCATACGGCGTGGGAGAGCACATCGATCCATTTTCCGTTCAACGCTGGCTCGTCTCTTATCCGAAACATCCATGTGACCTAGACATTCACCTCAACCAAACCGTGTAATCGCTAAGCATGTAGCTGAGGCCATGAAGTCATCACGCCCACGACGGGACTAGGCCGAATGGGGTCTTCTCCCCGCCACCGCCTCAACAAACGCACGGCCATCCGCCGCCGAAAGAAATATCCCCCAGCCGTCGCTCCAGAGCTGTCAGGAATTAAAAAAAAAAGGTAATATAAAAAAAGAAAAAGAAAAAAGGAAAAGGAAAAGGGGGAAGGAAAGGAACAAAAAAAGCTAGTTAAGATGCGTGGAAAAAGAAAATTCTCGTCGCGTCTACTTCCATACGTCTCCCCATCCGCTTATAAATAATGAACCAACTCTGGATTCTGGACGAGACCTTTCCATCGTTTGATCCCACGGGAGCTGCTCTCTTCCGTACCCAAGCTCCTTCAGCCATAACAGCTTTGGGATGGGGGGGTCACAGAAAGACAAATCTTGCTGATGCTTTAAGGCGAACTCTGATGTAATGCGCAAAGGAAGAGCGGGACCCAAGCTTCCAAAATCCTGTCCCCGGGCCCATACGATCAAAAAGCCATCAACACCTACAGAGTACTGGGTATTTCTTTTCCAGTGTTCTGCCACTGCTAAGACTGCTACCCCGCATCATCGCCACAGCGTTTTCGTCCGGTGGTTCCATCCCGGCAGCTCAAGTCCATGTCTCCGTCATGGGTTCCAACATCTCGCAAAATGAGACAATTCTGAGTCCTTTCGTCCTATCTCAGCCACTTCTGCTGTGAGGAGAGCTTTTTTTTGAAGCTCCCCGCCGTGGGATATTTTGACAGGCATACCCCGCCCGGTGTAAAGGGTCTACTGCCGGGTGCGTGCCCTCGGATGCGTTCGTGCGTTCCCTTCCAGGCCGGATTAAACTGCAATGGCACTTTCGCCATTGAGGATGTGCCGCTGGAGTATAAAATAACAGGCGGTCCCCGAGGGATCGTTGACATCATACTCTCTTCTTTCATCTCATTTTGCATTCTATGCAAAACAGGATTCTCAATTTCCCATATTGTTATATAAAGGACAACTCAGATAAATCTGACAAATCAATCCATCCAACTCACTGAACAGCCATGGCTACCTCAATCCCAGATCTCCCTAAGGAACAATGGGCGCAGGTCTGTCCTAAGGTGGGCGGCCCCCTTGAATACAAGAAGATCCCCGTCCCCAAACCGGGGCCAACCCAGGCCCTGGTCAATATCAAGTACTCAGGCGTCTGCCATACCGACCTCCACGCCATGCAAGGCGACTGGCCCCTTCCGGTCAAGATGCCCCTGGTCGGAGGCCACGAAGGGGCCGGTGTCGTCGTCGCCAAGGGCGAACTGGTCAAAGACGTCGAGCTGGGCGACCGTGTCGGAGTCAAATGGATCAACGGATCGTGCCTGGCGTGTGATTTCTGCGAGAACAGTGACGAGCCGCTCTGTGCAAACGCCTCGCTCTCGGGATACACCGTCGATGGCACGTTCCAGCAATACTGTCTTGCCCAGGCTGCCCATTTGACCCCTATTCCTAAATCTGTGTCCCTAGAAGAGGTGGCGCCCATTTTGTGCGCCGGTATCACGGTGTACAAGGGCTTGAAAGAATCAGAGGCTCGTCCTGGACAAGCTGTTGCAATTGTTGGCGCTGGTGGTGGTCTTGGTACTATAGCCATTCAGTATGCCCAGGCCATGGGTTTGAGAGTCATTGCCATCGATGGCGGTGATGAGAAGAGAATGGCTTGTGAGAAGCTAGGATGCGAGGTATGTGTTTTCTTTCTCCTTTTCTTTTCTTTTCTTCTCTTTTCTTCTTTTTTTTTTTTTTTTTTTTTTTTTTTTTTTTTTTTTTTTTGGGTCCTTGCGGGTTACCTTCCCCTATTATCATCAACGTATCGCAATCTAAAACCTTTCCCAAATAGAAATTCATCGACTACACCAAGTCAAAGGACCTCGTCAGTGATGTTAAAGCCGCGTCGCCGGACGGCCTGGGCCCGCACGCAGTCCTCCTCGTCGCCGTGTCTGAAGTCCCATTCCAGCAAGCGGCCAGCTACGTCCGATCACGCGGCACCGTCGTAGCCATCGGCCTCCCGGCGCACGCATTCTTGAAAGCCCCCGTCTTCGAGACAGTGGTCAAAATGATCACGATCAAGGGCAGCTACGTTGGCAACCGACGTGATGGCAAAGAGGCAGTTGATTTCTTCTCCAGGGGCAAGATCAAGTTCCCGTACAAAGTTGTACCACTTGAAGAGCTGCCGCAGGTGTATGATTTGATGCGTAAGTACCGAAAAAAGAGATAAAATACCATCGTACCCTCTTATTTTATACGGCGTATATTCGGCTAACGGATTTATTCCTATAAATTAGGCCAAGGAAAGGTCACCGGTCGTTACGTGCTCAAGATGCCGGAGTAAATTTGTGATGTTGGTAGTTGTATATATTCTGTATATTGTATGTAAGTCATGTGTGATGAACGATACCTAGAGTGGGGTGAGTGTCTTGTTGGCGCATTTTGAGTTTCACTGAGAACAATCTCCAATACGATATGTTGTACGGAGTACTGGATATCCAATCTCAAGTCAGTAAACAATCCGTCGAGCCATGTGAAAGCGATGCTGTCAGTGCTGCGATCTGCTTCTTCTAAAGAACCATTGGTGGATGTGTATGTACAACTTCAATTTATGAATTCAGGATTCAAAATGCCATAAATAGAAAGTGACTACAGTAACCTGATTCTAGGGAGAAAAGCAAAACTAACTTTAAAGCAAATTCCTGCAAAACAGTTCGATAGGGTATGTGGCCCTGGTCTAACAGCATTACATGAATCAAACCATGAAATTACATATTCCGCCGTCTCCATCAAGATAAATGTAAAACAACCTAAAAATAGAAAAGTAAAGAGAGGCAGCGGACCTAAAAAAGCCTCCAAGTGGAATATACAAAACATGCTCACGCCGCTCCAGGCTCCTTGTGCCCAGATCCTTGATCAAGCAGCAACTTCGGTTTGATATACTCCTCATCTAGCTGCTTGAACCACTCTGCATGGTCCCTGGATCCCGCACCGGACAGTAGATCTCGAAACGCACTTGTGGCACCGGAGAAAATAGGCCGTCCTTGTTGACTTTGCGCTTGTCCCGCTGTCACCGCCGGTGCCGGTGACGATGAAGAAGCGGCCTGGCCTGATACTGGGCTCGGCTCATGGGGAGCGCGAGTTGACAAGCGGGAAGGCGTGCGCGAAGCTCTGTGCGAAGGAGCCGCCGGGGGGAGATGATCGTCATCAGATATGGAATCAAGTTCCAAATCGAAGTCCTCCAGATCCGGGTCTGTGTCCGCTAGGGCCTTCGATGCTGCTCGAGACGTGGCGCGGTTCCTGCTGTGCATCGCTGCTTCATCTGCACTGCTACCGCTCGCGCTGCCATTTTGGCTGACGCTGCGACTTCCAAGCAGAGCCTGTGATGAGGCTGCATCGCGGGAACGTGGGTTGCGGTCTCGCTGGTTGTACCCTGCGGGCTTCCTTGAGGCGAGATTGCCCCTTCCGTCTCCTGGTTGGGGTGAAGGACCGCTATGTCTGCTAGTCGCGTAACTTTCGCCTGCGTGAGGACTCGAATCAAGGCCATTTGTTATGTGCACAGAGTCCAGTGGGATTGTGAAGTCGCTACGGCGCGGGGTATGGCCGATTCCGGTCCCGGATCTCTTGTAGTACGTACCTCCGTCGGTCATCTCGATATCGAATTCGTCATCTGAGTCAACTTCCTCCGCCACTCCGGTGCGGATGTCAAGGATCTCCAACATTCGCGCAGTGGTACCGCCAAATATTATCACAGTCAACACAACGACAACAAGGACTGTAGCTCTTAATGCCGGAGCATTGGTGCCCTCTAAGCCAGCAGCCAACGCCACACCGACTGCACCACGTAAGCCAGCCCAATAGAGCATGGCTTGGTAAGAAAAGGGAAGTTCGTCGGCAACGTCCTTGCCACGCCGTCTCGCCCGATATCGAATAAACCAGTTAATCGCCTTGGATAGCGGGAAAACTGACATGTATCTCGCGACGCAAATACCAACCACTGTCACCAGGATAAACAGAGGCTTGAACTGCAAATTCTCCTCAGTGAACAGGTCTAAGCCAAGGTAGATAAAAATGAAGTTCTCCGAAAGCTGAGCTAGGATCTGGAAAATGAATTTGGTCGTGAGCTGGGTCCTTCGGGACATATTGTAATATGCGTAGTGCTTGAGCGTAATGCCGCAGAATAGGAGGGACACGATTCCTGCGTGCTATTAGTCTTCCGTTATAAAGCATTGATGGAAGTAAAACGTATACCTGACATATGAACCCCATTTGAGAAGAAATAACTTGCGTACGCAACGAGCACGATCAGACAGCTCTCAATTTTTGGTTCGCGGCGTACATGAGTGTACTTTAGGCCCAGTGCGGTTACAACCCCAACGACGACCCCAATGAGTAAACTGCCAAAGAACACGAGCAAAAATATGCCGATAGCCTCAAATAAGCTGAGTACAGTCAACGACCCGGCTGTACTGCCCGGTTTGTATCTCTGTGCGGTTTCGAAGAGGACAATAGCGATAGCGTCGTTCAAGATAGATTCTCCAAATATCACGGTGTAAAGCTTCGGCTCAACCTTGTAGACGTTGAAAATCGCTAAAATAGTCACCGGATCCGTCGCTGAAAGGGTGGCGCCCACTGATATTGCCTCCACAAACGAGATGTTGAGGCCATCCAGGGGAATTCGCGTCCACAGATATAAAATCAATCCCAGTACTAACGCCGAAATAAATGTCCCCGCAAACGCGAAGGTGAGGATGGCCCCTATGTTTCTAAAGAAATTGGCCTAAATCCATACCGGGTCAGTAGGGTCCTCTTCGAAAATAGCCGCATACCCCAAGCCTAGGCAGGAGACACCGAAAAAGCGCTGCTGTTGAGTGACTGACCTGATGCAACTCGTATCCCGACGCCAATATAATCGGAGGAAGGAGAAGGTTGAAGAAAAACTGATAATTGAAGCTGACAGATTTTTGAATCAATGTCCCAGGGCTCACTCGAATAATCAGCCCAACGACCATGCCTGTCCGGCTCCGCCAACAAGTCAGTAAAGAATTCGAGAAAGCCAACGGCGTGAGTATCACCACGGAGAAGACTGCGCGCGCACCAGAAAATATCGACAGAACCGTCTCATGTACAGCCTGAACACGCTTCTGCTTCAGCATATAGCTTGTGAACAGCGCCGCGATCAACAGCAGGATGAGTATAAACAGCGCCCAAGAGGTCCAAAACTCTTGCTCTCCGGCTTCGGGAGATTCTGCAAGGCGTCTAGGTCAGTAA